AGTAAGAAAATGACCAAAAACTTCTTTGTGAAAAAAAAAATAACTTTGAGAATGTGCCCTATCACCTCTAGAGCTTACAGTTTGAAGATCATACTTTAATTTAAGTGTTAAAAAGAAGCACAGCGTATCCACTTAATGAATGATGATGAGTGGAGCGAAGCTCCGGAGGGGGGGGGTTATCGGTAAACTGTGAATTGTCTATCCATCCACTTGCCGCGTCCATCTGTCTGTCTGTCTGTCCATCCGTCCATCCATCCGTCTATCGATCCATTGATCCTTCCGTCTGTCTGTCTATACGTCCGTTTGTCCATCCGTCCATCTTGCTGTTTGTCTGTATGTCCACACATCCGTACATCCATCCAGTGAACGGTTCAAGTACCGCCATCTTGCTTCTTTCCATAATATATTCATCATATACAAGGACCACCATCTAGCAGGCATTCGAAGATCTTAACAAAAGTTGCATGGCGACCTACAACTACATACATCGAGGACGCATGACTCACGGCTTAAGGAGCTTCACCCCTAATAGATGAGTGTACGACAAGTAAAGCTAGACCAGATGGGGTCAAGAATACTACTGTTGTGAGCGAGACGTAATTTTGATCCCTACACTTCGGTAAATGAGAAATCACCGCTCATAACAATGACTTCCAACCTAAATGGGTAGCCCTTACAGCTTTAGATTGCTGGAGCCTCGTTGCAATTTATGATGGGTGGGGATAATCATAGATAGTCCAGCAGTTGCCAAGGTCTCAAGGTACTGGCTTCCTGGCACAGTCGCCGGTACCTCCCAGACCGCAAGGCTAATATTATCGCGATATAGGTTTGGTCCATCCGAAGTTATGTAGCTAAAAACGAAGCTGGCCTATAAAGGAATTGAAGGATTTTCGTCCCGAGGAACAAGTAACTTTTTAAACCATAAGGGAAGACATAAACGAAAATGTGGAACTTCTGGTGTAAATATAAAGCGAACATTCGGCTTGCAGTGAGCTCCAAGCTAAGTGATATAAAAGAACAACTACACTGTGTTATTATGCACACTGAAAACGAGAACTTGAAATACTCATCAGAGTTAAAAAAAACGCTTGGATAACCTAGACCTTGGAGAGAATCACGAGAAATGTTATTTAAAAAGTTTTACCTAAATTAGTAAGGCTACTCGCACATATCTTAAAGTTGAGGGGTAATTCGTGAAGCATTTTTACCAAAAGTGTTCTCTGCCATCGGGCAAACTCACTCGCCAGTGATGGCATTGTATTATGAGTGGCTGCAAGTTTTGCTTAAGAAGAATTAACACCGAAAACACTTGTCAAATCGGGCCGTAGCTTCTCTAAGTGCAAACTGCTTCATGGTTAAGGTTTTAAGTACGTAAGCTTCGTACCGAAGATCGTAAACATGAGTGAGAAAACAGAAGCCATAGCTGGCAAACTGCCTTTTAATGTAGAGCAAATGGCATCTGCCGAAAGATCTGGGATAGCAATTTTATTGTGATAGCAATTCATGTCAATTTTATGCAGCTTATGTATCGCAGTCGTCGTTGTGTTGGACTGTGATACCAAAATTTTGGCGAGGTCTCTCTACATTGGCTGTCAATAGCGTGCGAAAAAATTTGCACAACATGCTTATATTATTGACGACCCTTATAACCAATTCAGCAGGGTGTGACAGAGACACCGTTCACCTTCGTGCTTTTATTAGCTGAAAACACTGTGAGTCTCGGACGATCATCTGTAGTTTGTGGAACTGTTGTTTTAAGGCTGAAGCACACTAGGGTCGAGCAGTGTCCCCCCGTTGTCTCTTGTCCTGCCTTGCAGGCGCTGGGAACGCTGGCCGCGAGTGCGCTAATCGTAGGTAAAAGAGGAGAAGGACGAGCGTGGGTGCACTCGTATCACGCTGTTTCTTTCGCTGCGGCGCTCCAAGAGCTATAAAACGTGTTTGCTCCCGGCCATCCCTGTCTCAAGGCCTTGGAGTGCACTTCGTTATGGATGAAGACACGGCGGCTCGTAGCGCAGCTGCACGGCAACGCAGTCCAGAATTTTGAGTTCACTGAGCGGATACAGCACGGCAGCGCAGACAGGCAGATCCATACTTCCAGGCTTGCGAAACAGCAGTGCCGGCAAGCCAACCGGTGCTGAAGGCTCGCGAAGAAGCAGCGGCAACGTCGTCTCCTCAAATCGCAGGTTCTATTCCATACAAAAACCCTAAGCTTTACATTTCACCAATGCTAAGGGGGTTATAATGAACGGAAAGTGCCACCCACCTCTCAACACCACACGCGCATTGTGAATAATAAACATCTTTGCAAATAATGTACACATGTGTTGTTACGTCGTTCCACGATCAAGTGGGCAATGTACGGGGGTTAGTAAAACCTCCTAAACTTCCCCCACTTTGCGCCTTTCACTTCGATAATAAGCTGTCATTTTCATTTGCGGGGAGGGGTATTACAAATAATAAAATCCACGCGTCTCAACGAAATGAATCATGAAGATGGGGAGAAAGTAGGTCCCAAAGTCCAAGTGTGTTGCCCGAAACTTTTACTGGCGGAGAGGGGGCGCACTCGTTTAAAATGGTCAGCTTTAACTGTGTATGCCATGGCGAGAAAAATATCGCGGAGGTGAGGGGTGGTATGCCACTTCTTGGCTACGCCCCTTGCTAAGGTCTATCAGACCCTTCAGTCACGGCGTACACAGTTTTGTACGCGAACTATGAAGGCGCGTTACACGGCGCCTGTTACAGAAAATGGCCTGAAACTAGCTGTGCACATTCCTGCAGGCTTCCTGGGGGAGGGGGGGACAAGTGGAGATCATTTAATTTCACTGGGCTGTGCACTGCTGCAGAAGATGACTTTGCTACAGTCACAATCTTGCAATACAATCGTCTGACCTGCCGCGTTCCAGGATCAACGTGAAAAGTATTTTTGTTTCTGCGCTCGCAACGAATACAACCAAAAAAGAAATAATGCAGGCATTTCGGGCCTAACAATTCATTTTTTATGCAAGTACTGAAGCGCACTGATGACACAATAATTAGATAAATAGTTACAATTTAAACACAGAAACTCGCATAAAACAAGATATTCTTTCTTCCTTTTTCTTTCTTGGAATATAACACTGAGTGCCTTGAAATTTGGCGATGTATTTTCTAGCGTTTCTCACTGTCCATCCTGATTTGTGACTGAAGGGGTTAGATGCGAATCAGCTTATGGCTGACTGCTATGTAGTGTGCCCTGTCATATTCACAGTGCATACGTAACAGCTTGCCCAAGCAGTGCTAGAACACACTTACGTGCTCGCACTATCCGTATTGTGTAGGGAGCTGGGTAAAAAGTTGTGGCCTCTCCCCTTTACACAGTCTCAGAAATCACGTGGTGTCGTCGGAGAACGATATTCTGCAGACGTACGATGAACCCATGTATTCCCGCGTGGCATGGTCGTGAACAAGCTTGGCATACTCCAACAAGAGTTCGGGACACGTAACAACAAAAAAAGAAACTATACTACACAGGTAATTCATTGTCTGCTACCGTTTAAAGAACGCGTTAACATTGTGGAAGGTGCCCGTGATGAACAAAACTTCTCTGCTTCGCATCCTACTGATGGTTTTATTTAGTGGCAGATTATGTTATCGTCTATGTACAAGTTGTCGACTAGTACAAATGGTTTGCTCTAGTTTTCTTCAATTATTCTGTCACAATTACGACATTAGTATTTTGTTAAACATTTTTGTGTGTCACATATATACGACAATACCGTACGTTACCCGAATGTTATCCTACATAACGTAAACTGAGTGACATAAAGTGACAAAGAGTCGTCGAGAATGCTATAGGTCTTAAGGTCCATAATATCTATTTTGAATTTTTCGACTAGTATAAAGGGTTTGTGCTTGCACGTGCTTTATACTGTTCTGTCACAATTATGATTGATATTGGTCTAATTGTATACATTTTGCCTGTAACATTACCGTACGTCAACTAAGCATTGCCCCAATTAATGTAGCCGGGACATACGGACATCGGACAAGGCTATCCTCATACAGATACCTTGTCGGCCTCTGATGCTGATGTTCATCTTTTTCCAGATGAAGAAAAAAGCTTTTGTTAGATCGGCAGGCCTGATATTGCTAGAATTGACTCAACTTTTGTTGGCCTTTCTGTGGAAGCCATGATCTGTGAATGCGCAGTTTCATTAGTCCCGCAATCGTCATCTGTCGTGGTGGATCACAATGTGGTCTGGTGGTTATTGTGCTAGAAGACTGAGCCACAGGTCGCAGAATCAAATCCAGGCCGCGGCGAGCGCATTTTCAAGGGAAGCCTAATTGTATGAGACTTGCTCGCTTAAATTTGTGTGCACGTTTGAAACATTCCAGGGGATATAAATTGCCGAAGCTCTGCACTACAGCCTTCCTCGTAATCATATCTTTGTTTCGGTATGTTGAAACCCAACATATATTATCACGCGGTAGTGCTACAGAGGGCTTTACAATAAAAGAACAGCCTTTTCGCAATGTTTGAGTGTGATATCATAGACGACTTCATAAAACACGGTTTTTCCATATGATCATTCTTGACAGCCGTGTTTGTGCGAATGCATTACGGCTTCCTGTCGGAGAATATAACTAATAATACTTGAAGCGAGTAACTCAATGTTATCTATAGAGAAATGCACTGGAGCACAGGTTGCGCCGTAGTGTGACACCCGAAACTGCAATTGTATATTTTCTTTGTCGAAATAGAAGTAGTTATAAAGTCTTCTTACTGAAACGTTCGCATCTTGGTACTTTGTTCCACAACTGTCATTCACGAAAAGCACTCGTCTTCTTGGTATTTACGTCTTGGCCGGCTACACACAATCAGTATGAGAGGTGTGAATGCTATAGAGGAAACAGTGGCCGTGGTCATGATATCTGCAGAAAATTTTTGTAGTAGAATTCAATGCCCCAACAGGACTAATATATCACCCTTTTTATATCCCGTAAATCAGACAAAGTCAAAATGTGTGTTCGCTGAGTTTTATTTTCGGCGGAGGAACATTCTTCAACACAAATTTTTGGCCCAGAGTGAGAAAGACTTCATGTCAGCCCAACTTGTTTTCAGCCGTAGTATCCGTGTCCGTAACCAAAGCCACCGAGTCCGTATCCACCATAACCGCCATATCCGTGCTTGATGTGTGTATGGTAGGCGAAAGCGCGGCCGACTGGGTAGCCGTAGCCATATCCACCGTAACCGCCATAGCCACCGTATCCGCCATATCCACCGTAGCCACCATACCCTCCGTAGCCGCCGTAGCCACCGTATCCACCGTATCCACCGTAGCCACCATATCCGCCATATCCACCGTAACCGCCGTAGCCTCCAAAGTATCCGGCGAAGGCGGTGGCAAGGAAAGCGAAGAAGACAACTGCAATCTGCAAGTGGCATTGGAGCAAAAGTTAGAGCTATGGCGGACAGTCAAACGACCAACATTCCGTGCAGCGAGTGAATATTTCCGAGTTTTAGTTTTTTTTTTATAATATAGGCAGGAATCATAGATAGCAGCCATGCTGTTTTACACAGCGTTTGAGGTGGGCCTGTGCAGCTATGCCTGTTATACAAGTTGCCAAAGCCTTTGAGGCATCCATTTGCATTTCTTGCTCATATGAAAGCTCACACGTTTCTCTGCACTGCCAGTATCCCAGAACATAAATGGTGAATCTAGTTTGTTTATTGATCTATAACATATGTGGCACACCCTAAACTCAACATCCCGCTCAATAATTTTGAGTGCTTTCGAGAGGACATGCCTGGGTATGTAGTTGATTGTTGCGGTATCGCGCCGTTAATGATTTATTCATTGATAGTCTCTCTTTAGATATTGTGTGGGCGATCAAAAATTATATGCTTTCTCTATGCGCCATAAAATTCAGCTGCATGGCCCAACGGGTAGCGGTCGTTTGCTGAAAGTAGGCTGAGTTTACATTCACTGGATGACAACCGCAACTTTTTCTATTGATAAAATTCACGCTCTTGATTCACAAAACACATCATGATTATCCTTTCTGAAAACTACATGACAAACAGTCACAAAGGTGAGTGACGACTGGAAAACAGCACTTAATGATGAAAAAGTGCTCTTACTCACTAAAGACTTATTCCGCCAATCATTCAAAGCATGGAGTTAGGTTGTATATTAGAACAGTAAAGTAATCGAGGAAATGAACGATTATATTAAAGCTTCTATACAGTGCAGTAAAAGTACTCTCACTACCTTCTTGCAAATCAAGTCCACGTTTTATGTTCTAAGGCTTCTGTCCTATGAAAGCAATTTTATAGGCTCAAGGTTAAAGTTATACCTTAGGCATATGTCGAAATAATAGTTCTAAGTTACTCTTGTTTTTGCATGAGTGGCAAAAGAAGCAAGACGAACATAGAGCAACGTGGCATTTTCGACCAAGGGAGCTCCCTTAACACCAGGTCATGAGTTAAGGAGGCAAACCCCGGACTTTGAGACAAAGTATACATAAGGAACACGGGCAGCGAAAAGCCAGAAAAATAAATGGGCGAGAACCACCTCTAAATGAACGAGAAAGTCGAACGGCGAACTGAATGCATGTTCGCCGTACGACGGCAGTATCCAGTGAGGAATAGACGCAGGGGTCAGTGGTCTTCCGAGTGCACATATTCCACACGGTGCGGCGACAAGAAGCGAAACGGGTGTGGAGACGCTAGAATCTTACCAGGGACCTCATGGTTGGGCTTGCTATGGCTCTGCAGGCAGTGACACGACTTAGTCACTCACTATGGGGCCTTTTTATATAGCAGTATCAGCCCGACCCCGCCCCCTCAAGCCCTAGCTTCCCTCACAAAGAAGTCGATCCTGCAGGTCTGCATTCTGCACATGTCTCGGAAAAAGAGAGGAAAATAAATAGAAAAAGAAACACGTTTCTCGACTTCTCTTGTATCCAGTGCAGGGCGAAGCGTGGAGTCGGCCACACGAAGGTACACGTCACGCAAAAAGCGATCGAGCAAAAATAGACAAACAAAGGACTGTCGTTCGTACAAGGTGTGTGGGTCCTGAAAGTTGGGGGTAACCTTATCCTCGTAATTTAGGGTTCCGGTCGCCCCCGGGCCGTTTGCACGCACTCGTGCGGGTCTCTATTATCGTTTTCCCTCTCTTTTGAGATTCTTGCTGACTGAAGCGTGAAGGTTATGCAAGCCTTTCTTCACGCCACCTACTGAGAAACGCAACAAAAAGTAAAAGCGCAAGGAAGGGTGAACTGCTCTTCAATCACGACCAGCTCCGAACTTGTGGTTCGGTTACAAGCTTACAACTAGACTGGTTTTCTGTGGCACTAAGAATTCGGCAACCCTCTTTTTTGCTGCTGCTGTTGCTGTATTGGTGACGCAAAAGCCGAAAAAATTTGTCTTTCTTCCTTTTTTTTTGTGCCAGATGCGTGAGAAACGACGGCCGGTAGCCGAGTTCCGTCAGAGCTCCTATGGCAAGTTTTGGCATGTATAGTCTTGTTGCCAGTCAGTGTGTGGTACGGAAAAGCGAAATCTTCGCACAAAATGCAGATCGAGCCAAGAGTCAATTATTTGCCTCCTTGCTCGACAATTTCACAGCACTGCGTTCAATCAAATGGATTTTTTGCTTACACTGTTCAGCTATTACGCGCACCATATTATAAATGTAAACAGACTCTGTGAGCCGTATCATTATATTATGCTGAAAGAGCAAGAATATTCAGCGGAAGAAAAATGAGTGAAGCTGAATCAACAAACAATGGCACGCTTACAAAAATAAATGGTATAAAATTTTAAAGGGAAATAGTCAACCAGAATGCTGACATTCCTGTTCATCATGTGAACGCCTCGAAGAAAAAGTTTGCCAAAAGTCTTGCTTTTTTTTCCTGTTTTATGCATCAATTTAATGTCATACGCTGGCCCCGCCTTGGTGGTCTAGTGGTTAAGGTACTCGGCTGCGGACCCACAGGTCCCGGGATCAAATCCCGGCTACAGCGGCTGCATTTCAGATAGAGCCAAAATGCCGTAGGCCTGTGTGCTCCGATTTGCGTGCACGTAAAAGAACCCCAAGTGGTTGTAGTTTCCAGAGCCCTTCACTATGGTTTATCTCATAATCATATGATTTTTGCGCCGATGATTGTGTCCTGTCTCGCGTATTCAATTTACCTGATGATCATACACTCAACACTTCATTCTTATACTTTTGCAAGTGACGTCAGAACTGTCAAATTCCCGAAAGACTGCTGCCATGTGTTTTAGTGGGCAGAAAACCCCATCAATGTTTAAATATTCAAACAACTACGTTGTACAGCGGGTCTCACAATACCCGCTGTACAACGTTTTTTGTGTGTGAAAAATTGTGCTGTGGCCCTTGATCTAGACATGTCATTTATACTGGTGTTGAATGCACACGAGGAATATCTTTCTGTTTAGTAAAGATCAGCACAAGACATCTTGGCCTCCTTTTGACCACAAACTTATCATGGTCTCATCACTTCGACACAACTTGCAATAAAGCTATAAAACACAAATATCTTAACAAGTCACTAAGTTCATTCCCCCCCCCCCCCAAAAGAAAGTGTTAACGTATAAAACACTCGTAAGACCAATACCTAAATATTGTGCCGCTGCATGGTACCCTTACAAAATCGGTGATATAAAACACATTGAATCTATTTGGAAAAAAGCCCTTTGTTTCATAAACAGACGCTATGACTGCAATTTCTCACCGCACCATCATCCCACCAAACGCACACTGGTTTAACTTCACTTTCTAAACCATGCAACCCCGATTCATTCCAACTTTCTCACTTCTTTTACAATTCACCACAATATTTATTGCAGAACTACTTCATAACACCTTCTCAAACAATATTCACCAGAAACAGCGTATACACTCAAATTATCTGTCTTCCATCATCGCACAGACTTATTCAAATATACTTTTTTCCCCGATGTATTTAAATGTGGAATGCCACACCAGGTGACATTCGTTCATTAGAAAAATATTATTTTTGATGGCACTTGAAGACGGCATACTCTAATCTTTACTTCTAGCTTCGCAACGTTTATGTAATTAGGCTTATAGCAATTTTTGTGGATATTTTATCTGTCATTGTTTGTATTTTTTTCAAATATTCTCAGTTTCTCGTATTGTTACTACACTCTATCCACTCCTGCAGTAGCTCTAGTGGCAGTATGTGTAAATAAATAAATAAATAAATAAATAAACAAATTAGTTTGGAGGTTTCGGGCCGTTGAACTCCACAGATCTATCAATGTTTGATGCTGTTCAAACTAAATAAGAAGTGGAATGGCAACACATTGATTTGAAGTACTGATAGCATTTTATTAAGATTGCAATTGTATGGACACTCTCGGCGAATCGAATGTAGGACCTCGAATTGTGAGTGCGAGACGTTAGACATGGAGGAGCGCCTCCTTGAACGTTCAAACGGCGAGCTATTTGTATCTACTACTTACCGCTGGTGATGGACGTCTCGGGGGGACTGTCGTGTTTTCAGCATTACCAGCAAGATGGCGCAATGAACACACGTCGCCCAATCGTCACCACGTGGTGGCGCACGCTCTCATCTCCCATGCGCACTTTGGCCAGTGAATAGCGCGCAGGGTGGACCCTCACGCGTGCGCTCGCTTATCTCGCGGTGGGGACAATCGTACGCCTTGGCTGGCTTTGGGCTTTCACCGGAACGATTCTGTTGTAGTTACTGAACCCACAAAGATAACTGTAGTCGTTGCATAGTCTCCGTTTGCGAAACAGGAGCACTTTTCAGACACAGCCAAGTAACAACTGAGGCGCTAATTCGCGTTCATTTGTACTTGTGAGTACGTTTCATGCGTCATTTATACGTGAGAAACACAGGACACGTTTCAATCTGCTTGTCATTCTGCGCGTGACGTTTTTTTTTTTGTTGCTATCGCATTCATTGCTTCCCCTTTGCGGTAAAGCTCTCACGTTTTTTTTTTTATTTCAAAGGCTCAGCCCAATGTACTTCCGGTTTTTGTTATGATCGAGCAAGCTCTATTAGCTTAACTGGGCATTTAGCCTAAGGTTACTTTAACATTAGATAATCAGAGCATCTATTCTTCAATTTGGAATGTAAGTCAACAAAGAGCTTTGGTAAACAATTATATTTTACGCGTTTCATTGCTGCTTGCTTCAACAGATATCATTTATAATGAAGTCCTCAACGGGGGTGGGGGGGTGTTCATGCAAGTCATGGTTCGTAATGCGCGAGCAGAACAATTTCGTCATCATGAACAGACACGAGCTACGTACTTCCTCCTCTGGCTCTTCTTCATCTTCTGCTCTGCTCCCAGAACACGCGCGCGAATTTTTTTGGCTTGGTATGAAATAAAATTGATAGGTGAGAGAACTTGAAAGAGAATTAAAAAAAAAGTGAGATTCATGAAGAAAAAAAACATTACGACAAGGTTGTATTCAAACCCTGCGCCCACAATCCGAAGGCGGGCAACGCAACCACTCGGCTCACCAGCCGTGCGGGTGTAGTTGTGTAGCACAGTGTACCAAAGGGTGGGAATAAGTTATGTGAGGGCAGGAGTGGAGGGAGAGTAAGTCAGAGCGCATCAAGATAGAGAAAGAAAGGGTAGTAAAAGAGAAATAGAAATATAAAACGAAACTATGAAGAAAGAAACGAAAAAAGAATTGATCAAACGACAGACATGAAGAAAGAGAAAATAATAAAAAACCGCCGAGCTTAAGCCATGGCACCACAAGCACAAAACCAACCTTATCTTATTTGGCTAGCGTACCAGAAAGCCGTTCCGCCATATGTTCTGTAGTCCAACTTCACAATTCTCAAATTTATCCTGCTATGACTCGCCTTTACGCTGCGCATGTTTGGTGGGCGACTCAGGTTTTGGGCTTCTGGGTTGTGACTGATTGATATGTGGGGTTTAACGTCCCAAAACCACCATATAATTATGAGAGACGCCGTAGTGGAGGGCTCCGGAAATTTCGACCATCTGGGGTTCTCTAACGTGCACCCAAATCTGAGCACACGGGCCCACAACATTTCCGCCTCCATCGGAAATGCAGCCGCCGCAGCCGGGATGCAGCCGCAGCTGCCACAGCTGACTGAGAGCCAGCTGACGTGAAATGTGTCTTGCTTAACCTCTTCCAGCGCTCCGAAAAAAAAAAGGAGTTTGCCAACACCCGCGTCTTATTTCCGGCCAGAAGAGGAATGGAGAAGTTGCGACCACTGCAGGTAAGGGAAAGTTTTTTTTTTTTTTTGAGGTCGATTCGTATCGCCCATGTGGCCATTTTTGTGACTTCACCCAAACATCACGACTGCTAGGGTGTTTTTTTTTCTTTTCGTCCGCTTTTCGTTTGAAGTCCAGGGAAGCCCTGGTGTGGTGAAAACTCTGAACATCATGCCTGAAAGATGGGATGAAGCGCAGATCTCTGACAAAGCCTAGGATATGGTCTTCCTCCATGAAACAAACGAACGTCGGCTAAAAGCTCATTCCCTGCCGAATTCGTAGTCATCGAGGTTTTCGCGTGGTCAGAGGTGTTTGTGATTTGCTTCACGTCAATCTTCCGTGCAACTAAACATGGGGAGGTCACTTCGGTTTCAAAGTGGTTCATGCTTCTTGCTTCGGGAACTCTCATGACTATGAGATAACCTGTGAGTGCCATAATGTGTCGTGTTCGCGACGTTTACCGTTCGAAAACGACTGAATCAAGAGCTTCCCATTTGTACAGACCAGTACG